ACGTCTTAAGCCTTTGTTTTGAATCCTGATGTCTTGAACTTTTTTTGTCAAAATTAGGAGATTCCTTCATTGCTGGCAAAGTCTGAAACTTTAAGGGGGCGTTAAGGACAATTAACCTGAATTGATCAAAGGATTGATTTCTAAGCCTCTGAATAAATGTCCAGATGCCAAAACTTAACGTGATGTAGCTAATCAATTGTATCTAGTGTGCCTGCATCGCTTCACATTGTAGGACTAGAGTTCCCTGGCATTTATAGGCCATTATCCTCATCGTCCTGTTGCTTTTGAAACACTGGATTATACTCTGCTCCTTGAGCAGGTGCTGAGTCTACTACAGCTCTACAACACCAGCCTGCTGGAGGCATATCTCTCCTTAAACTTCCCTGGAGCTTTCGGATAGCACTGGTTTTTGGGTTTTTTTTGTTTTTTTTTTTTTCCAAAAAAGATCATTATCTTGAAGAAAGTATTCATCTACCTCAAAAGCTAAGAGCAGAACCTCTCCTTCTATCTTTGTCTTTAAAAAGAAGTAAAGACTCTTCTAAAAGTTGGGGGATAATGAATCTGGAAGTCATGTTCTCGTTTATTGATACTGGTGTTGAATAGGTTGTTGAGACTTGCTAAGAGTTAAAAGCAAAACTAAGGGTTTTTTTAAAGGTCAGGGTACAAAGGACAGTTCTATCCAAACAATTGTGAGAAGAGAAATTATGAGCTCAGCGGGGGAAAGCAGGGAAAGCTGGGAGGTAGTAAGTACTTTAATTTCTGTTTCGAAAAGAGCTGTAACAGAGCAGTCTCTGGTGTTTGAAGAACCCCCTGGGGGACTGATCTCTCCTTAACTACAGATAAGGCAAAACCTGGGCAGCAATGAGAGGGCAAGACTCTCTTCCTGTCGCTGCTGGGTTTACCCAGTCCTACTCTAGAGACACTAAGTTTAGGTAAGAAAGTGAAGTTCACTTAAATCCAGATATTAATTTTAGCATTCTTGTACCAGTATAAAAACAGATCCTACATTAGACCAGATCCTTCAGCTGCTACCTGTTTTGTGACTAAACTAGGATTACTTATGAGAGAGGATTGCAGGGTCAAAGCGCAAACTGTTGGATGAGCTCTGTGCAACTCTGGGGGTTTCCTCTGACAAGTGCTTGGGCCAAAGCTGGATACTCTGAGGTATGATCTGTCTCTTCTCTGTGAAACAGGCACAGGTCAGTCAGCGTTTGGATTTTGATGCCTTTACTATTATTAGCAAAAAGGAAAAGGACTGCTGCAGTGGCTGTACTGCGGATGGTAACGCATTGCACAAAAGTAAATGCTTGTTTCCCATGGAATTTGCACACTAGTGTTAACCTTACAGGATTTTTTTTTTTTTTAAATAAAATGAAAGAATTGAATTGGGGGATTGTTTTAGATCCCACAATATTCTGTAGTTGAATTAATATATGCAGAAGAATCTGCACAGAGTCAGCGTTTAATCACTCATCCTGAAGCCTGCAGTCCACTTTCTTGCATGTGCTGCTTGGTGACTGCTGTGGAAGCTAAGTGGCTGTTTCTCTTTTAGTTGCACAAGTCTTTCACGTTAGAGGTTTTACTTTTCTGATCTCAGTGTGGTCTTCCGAGAAAGTCTCAACTTTACTTTTTAATTGTATTTAATTTATTGGAAGTTCTTGCTTTTCTTCCCCTACTGCAATCATTTAAAAACTGAGATCTTCTCCGTGTTATGAAAGTATATTTGCAAACAGCTATTTTTTCCCCTCTTTATTCCTATAGCTAAGATGATTAACTTTCAGCAATTCATAGCTGTATTTCCTTCTCTTGATAGTTTGAACTTTTCATCTGACTGGCATCACAAGTATTTCAAACTCTTCCTTTTTAGGGGCATCATTTCTTTGAGAAAGAAATGTGCAGAGAATATTTCTAGTTGTTTATCTCCTTAATAGGAGATTGCTGTCCAAAACTCTTTTGCATTTGAAAAGCTATCAGCTTTACTGTGTCACTTGCAGCCTGAGCTACTGTGTTGCTCTGCTCTTGAGACGGGAAGCACTGGTCTTACTATTGTAATAGCAATAGGAGCTGGAAAAGTGGTTTTAGTAGCTGAAACTGTCTTTACTCATTTATGTGTGTGAACTTCTTGTTTGCTTGGCAATATGCTCCATTTCATGGGAAGGAGAGGCTTTTTCCATCATGAAGCAGTATTATGGTTGGCTGTAACCAAATATTTGAGGGGATGAATCACTGATTCCTGGGCTGTCTCTTGCAGAGAAAATGAGACTAATGCCGTTTTCAGCTGACTTCTTCATTGGCATGCTCTGTCAGATGATTGAGATGAGCCTCCTGTTAGGAAAGCTGGGTATCAACGCTGCCAGGCACCTGTAAACGCACTCAAATAGTGTCCCTGTCTGTAGCTGATACTTTTTCCCCTTAGGCTTCCAGCTGTGGCAGGTCAGTCAGCTTGTAGCTCCTTTACATGTCCACACATTTCTCTCTGCCAGGAGACCAGCGCGGTCTGGAAGGTGGCTTGTTCTGCTACAGTGGGAACAGTCACAAAGGCTGATGGATATATGCAGGGGTTTTGTGCTCTTCACTCACAGAAAGTTTCTGCTGACAGGCCTCAGGAGGGCCTCAGCAGCTGCTTTTCTCCCGTTTAACAGAGGTGTCCAGCTCAGATGACATCTAAGCCTAATGGTTTCTTTAGGGGCAAAATGTCCTAAGAGCATTCCTCCTGGCTGCCAGCGGGGGCTTGCGTGCATGCCCGGCCGTGGTTTGTATATACCTACTGCAGGCACTTTCGGTTGTAAAAGAGAAAGTGTCAGACTGCTGCTCTCGCCCATTTTAGCACTACCTGTTCAGAGTAAGATTTGAAAGGAAAGATATTGGTTTCAGGTTGGTGTTTTTTTTTTTTTTCTTTGGGGGAGGAGGGGTAAGAACTGACATTTAGATTGTGTATTTGGCAACTTAGAAGTCCTGCATCCCAAAATAGCATTTAATGGTCAAAATCCAGAGCGAGTGAATGACCTTGCCTGTTGAGAAGCAAATACTGGCCTCTGCCTTTACCGTTTCTTGTTTTTAAAAACTTGGGGTCTGCCATTTAAAATAACATTAAAAATAAAACAAAAGCGTCAGCACTCTTATAAACATGGCTACTTTTGTGACTAGTTTTCATAGTCTTGTTATCACTTTCTAAATTTGCCAAAGAACGTTCTTCAGGCAAATGTGAAACTCTCCGGAAGGAGTGGTGCTTTCTAGCATTTAGGAGTATCAGGCACAACACCATACTAATAGTGGAGAAACTGCTCACAGCTTTTAACATGGAGAGCCTGTTTTCTGTCTGTAATGCACCTTAACTATTGCCAGTGTTTCCACTCACAGTTGTTTCACGTGAACGTTTTTGGTTCTGTTTTGACTTGCACAAATTGTTTCAGCAGATGATGTTCCCGTGATGTCCCTGCACTTCTGACAAGAAGTGGTAGGTTTTTGGTTTTCCAGTGGCCTCTGAGGGAAGCTTGTTCTTACTCTTGCTCTATGCTTAGGTGGATGTTAGCCCTTAACTCTTAACGTAGTTGTGTTAAAGATTGACGTGCTATTATGATGTGGTATTAAAAACTGTGTCATCAGGGAATTTGGTACAGTTTGTGGCATGCTAGTTTTCTTAAAATGTGAAAGGGAAAAGCTTCAGTTAGCACTTACTCCTGGCATTATAAAGAAACAAGGCTAAATTTTCATAATCCATTATCTTCTTAAAATGTATTCTCTTTCTTAGTTATGTTTTAACAACAATTGACTTCAAGTGCCTGCTGTCACATAAGCTGGTGGGCTTCCCTAGACCTAACTCAATATTGTTGTTCAGATAGTCTTGATTTGTTCCCTGATTTTTTTTTTTTTCCTTCCTTTTAGGCCATTAAAGTCCTAAAGTCTTTTTAGAAGTGCCTTTCTCTTGTTTGGAAAGATAGTTTGTATCGTGAAAGACATACCTTGGCTATATGGTTGTCCCAAGTAGTTGACTGTCTCCCATTGCTTAAACGCAATTGATTTTTGTGTAGGAAGAAATATTTTTGTCCTTTCTTTTTCTTTGTGCCATTGTGAAATGTTGCAGAGGCAGAGAGGGAGGATATGCTTATCTGTTTTAATTTTGTATTTCCCTGTTCAATCCTGCAGTTGGCCCCGAACTGAAGTGTGATGAACAAAACTCATTTCTCTCTATTTTCCGCAAAGACAGTGCTGGAGTTGAAATGGATACTGGCAACCTAATGCTAAGGCCATACTTCGCTATAGTGTTGTAAAGCTGTATATAATCTACCACCTCAAATGCAGTCTAGTACATCACTAGATTCTTCTTTTAAAAAAAAAAAAATTAAATTCCTAATTTTCCTTTGCACTTTAGAACCTATCTCTTTACATTTTTACTCTGTCCAGAGAAGGCTGGCTTGCAGGGCTGATCTGTAGCAGGCTCTTTGTGTGGCTTATATTCCAATCTGTTTAGTCTTTCAGTTTTAGTTCAAGAGTTCATTTTGAACTCTTCTGGCTACTGCTGACCTTGATATCCAAATGAATGTGGTCAAACTCGGCTGTATTACTGAATAAAGGGGGTTCATCCTGTTATTTCTCTTCTCTTTATCTAATCAACTTATATAGTGTGTACTTGCCTTTATATTCTGCTATCACTACTCTATTTGAGGGTGATCTGGATCTGATATTAATGCTTCCTTTCTTCCTCCTATAAGTAGTAATTTGACGGGAGGAATTGGTCACTGCTCTGCACTTTCTGTAGTGTTTGGAATACCAAGGTTGTAAATCCGGACTAGGTTTTCTGTAGCTGTGTTTAGTCCCAAAACTAGTAGATGACAAGTTGCTTTTTGAAGTATTAACCGAACTTTCTCCAATAAAGGCTGAATGTATTTGAAAGTACAGCATGAAATGATGTTCTTGGAGGTGTATTGAGGAGGTGAAATATGTCTGTCTTGGAGGTGGTTTCCAAATGAATTGTTCTTTTTTTCTCCCTCTGTCTTCAGGGACTCTTCGGTGTAGTTTCTAAAAGTGAAAGCAGAGTCAAGTAGAATGATTCACTGCCCAAGATAAAGGCTTATATAGTGCTGCTTTTCCGGATGTGACTGCCTCTACACCCTAAGGAAGTACAGTCCGTTGCTGTTACGACGCTTTATGAGCAAGTCCGACTGTTTCTGAACCAACTTAAGGGTGAGTTGATCATAATCACTTGTTTTTAATAATGCTTTGAGTTGTGAACCAGAAAGCCTTGGTTTCAGTAGTCGGTTTTAATCTTGACTTCTCTCTATTCTGTTTTCTTAGGCTGATTCTTCTTTGCTAATTACTAAAATACTGCTTTTTACATTCAGTTTGGTCTGTTTTTGTAACCAGGTGGAATCATAGCGCTAACGTTTTTATAATAAGTTATAGAACAGCTTAACTAAATCCAGGTTCTTAATATTTAACACATTAATAATGCAATTTTACATTTTCATCTTATGTTAGTAAAATAGACTTAAATGATCTGGTACAAACATATTTTTCACCAAAAAGACAGTTTGCATTTAAACTAGGTGCGTATGGTTGGTTTTTTTGTTTTGTTTTGTCTTGTTTTTTTATTTTGGCAGCTTTTAAGGTCACTTGGGCTGATCTGGTTGTAATCTTACACAATTTCCTTTAAGACCTATGGAATTTGTATGACTCCCTTACATCTAGTTTTTACTAGACTGAGAAGATAATGTAATATCTGTACTGGCTCAGACAAAAAGACTACTGAGCCTGGTGTCCCACACCTTGTGGTCCAACTGCCTAGAGAATAAGCCAAGCATATTGTGATACTAAAACCCTTTTAGCAATCTGTGGTTTAGGAACTCCATGAACCAAAAATCAAGATCTTGTATTTTTTGCATTTAATATCCCCTGAGGGATTTTTTTTTCTTTTTTTTTGCTAGTTAACCTTCAATTAATTTCTTAATCCTGAACTCTTCATTGTACTGCACGAAGATAACATACTTTGAACCTACAGAAGAGTCTGTGAGAGCTTGTTTGAAATGCTTTCCCAGTGACAGCTATCCATTCAGAAACTTGATATTAGACTTGCTCATATGGCCAGTGTCTGCCTTCCCAACTAATGTTATTATGGTCTTACCCAAATGGCAGCCAGCTATTGCACAGTTGCCAGTTTTCTCAGATGGGAGGGGACCGTCCATATTTCAGAGGTGGCAACTGTCTTTGACTTTCTTTTAAATGTAAGGTGCTACCTGTTTGCTGTTAAGTAGATGACTTAACTGTAAAATACTAGTAACTCATTACAGGATATTTATCATAATTTCTAGCTTAGATGTTAATTTTAGATTCATGAAAGAATAACATGCATGTAGTCTTAAAAGCTACTTATTCGTTCTGACGTGCCAGAGGTGTGTGAGTAGTGAAATGCTATCTTTTGTAGGGCTTTTCCTCCTTTTAGTTGAGATTATTTGTAATGTTCTGTAGAAATATACCCTAGCTATGCCTTGGGGGGGGGGCCCACAAAACTTATGAGGTTGGGAGGTTGGGTTTTGTATCCTTTGCTGTTGCTAGTGTTTTTGTTTCAGTGATTAGTAGAGACTGTCCTACAATCCCAGTACTAGTGGGCCTGTAGTTGATCCAACCACTTGTATTAAGAATGAGCAATGACTGAATTGGTCTTGGTTCCCAAAAAGAAGACTGGGTTGATGCTAGATCCAAAGAGGCATGCAACTTAAACAGAAAACACCCCTCTCAACACCCCAACAGGTAGATTTGTAGGCATTAAAATGGCATCTGCAATTCCTGTTTATTTCAGAGTCAGTACTTGGTGCATCTTTGAGTGAGATTCTAATTGATGTAGGCACGTTTCAAAAAAATCACATTTATGTGCAGATGGACTAAACAGCCAGTTCATTGTTAAGTCTGTTATTTGTTTGAGGTAGCCACAAGTGTATAGAAGTAGTCTCATAGTTGTGGCCTATTTTGTGGAGTCTGTTTGCGAGTGATGCCAAATGCTCCTTACGTGAAATGAGAACCTTTAAATGTTCAGCCTTTAGCTGGGTGGCCTGAGCAGTATCTCTCTATAGAGGATAAAGAAAAAATCAAGCTGTGGTTTGTGTTGTATGTATTAATTTGTGAAGGGCGGCAGCGCGCTAGATTTAAGGGCAAAGGTGTTCCTTTGCATCCAGGAAAGCTTGGAAGAACTGGGAAATAATAGATAGTGTCAATAGGAATAGTGTGTGTATGTGCTGGGGGCAGCTACTTGCCCAGTGAATTCCCTAAATCTTTTTTTTTAATTCCCCCGCCTCCCCCCGAGACTTCAGATGCAAACCTTATTTTCTAGGTGTTATATACACTAAGACTGACTCTGTTTACTAAAATAGAAATGTTTGTATTATTCAGTAAAAGAAATAACACTGACTCTTGTTTTGGGTTTGCTTTTTCAGACCTGCTTCTGGATGACCAATGAGTATTTTAGCTGATAATGTCGGATACTAAGTCTCCAACTTTCCATTCATTCCAGCTGGTAGCAACGCATATAATGCAAAAATCACAATTCAGGATCATACAAATATTACTCTTAAAACTTTCTAGATGATTGTAGTTGCTTTGGTTGTGTTCTATGCTAGCAGAAGCCTTCTTCGAGGTTTCCTGCTGTCTCTAGAGCACCACGTTCCCCGTTTTCTGGGAGCCTTGGGGACCAGCAATATGGGAAACTCCTGTGTTTGCCGAGATGATAGTGGAGCTGAAGACAATGCCGAATCCCAGAATCGGCAAACAGAGAACAGTAGAGCACGTGTACCTGAAGCAAGAAGCCACCCAAGGGACCCTGTCCGGCCACCCAGGAGGGGGCGAGGGCCTCATGAACCAAGAAGGAAAAAACAGAACGTGGATGGGCTGGTACTTGACACGCTGGCTGTAATTCGGACATTAGTAGATAAGTAAGTACCTCCTCAAAGAATAATTCAACATGAATGAAAATATCATGTTCTTGTCTTCTCTCAAACTATGGCTCCATCCTCTCACCAATCTACACCTGACCCCCCCGCCCCTGAAGCAGCAGCGTGTTTACTTCTGGAGGCTTAGGAAAGGAGCACCTTTGCTAGGTAATAGAAATAGCTTCTGAGTGCCCGGGTACAGACTCTTCTAGGAGTTGAGGAGCTTCTTACAGTTCCTGTATGGGCCTACACCTAGATGGGATGAGGAGTGTGCTCAGTATTTATTACCTGGCATAGATGCACAGTTTAGGAAGCAGTGAACGTTCCAAAGTTTGGGAACTCCTATCCTAAAAACTGATTCTTCTGTAAGATTTTTGTTTTCAGGCTGTATTTACTTCTCTGGAAATGGTTGAGCAAAACTGAGAGCTTTGATCTCTGTTAGTTTATATAAAACAGACTGAGGTTTTCTTTCCAGTTAAGTCTGACTACTTTTTAAAGACTGCATGTTGTGACTGTTCAGCTCATGATCCCAGTATTGCATTCCTTGCATGTTCAGAGCTTCCATTGAGGGTGTGTGGGATATTTATGGATTCATCCTTATTTTTTGTTTTTGCATTGCTTTCTACAGAGCTTTAAAAGGACCTCAGAAGTGATGGGATAAGTTAGCTCATCACCTTTTGGATTAGATGCAGGTTAGGAACTGGAAATACCAAAACAGGAGGAAAAAGGTGAAGGTACTATTGTACGTTCACAGCTGGGGTTTGAGTTTAAGCTGGATGAGACTCAGGATAAATGAGCCTTCATTCAGATCCACCATGTAGGTATATGAAATGTGCCTGCAGGAGGAGCTTGCCTTGCTGTTATAAATGCTTTAAATGGAAATGCCAGGTCAGTTGTTTTGTCTGAAAATTTAAATCCAAGACTTTGGGGGGGGGATTTGTTTGTTTTTGTTGTCCTTTTTTTTTAATCAGAATTTTGTGATCAGTCTTCACTAAAATCATCGCAAAATTTTTTGAGAATCTCTCCCTTATCTCACATGCCTTCCCCTCTGCCCTCAGTTCATCTACTTAAGCCATTTCACAACATTTTTTGTGCATAGTTGATCCTGTTCCTGTGGGTTTTGCAATCAGTTTTGCAATCTTATAAGCACTTTCTTATGCTACCGAGTGATAATAAGTGTAGTCCTATTTGTGACAAATTCCTGAAGCTACTGCATTTTTAAAGAGACTTAGTTACTTAGAATCTCAGAATCACGTGGGCTGGAAGGGATCTCCGGATATTCATCTCATCCAGCCTCCTGCTCAAGAAACAGGTCCAGTTTACAGCAGGTGGCTCGGGGCCTCGTCCAGTTAAGTGTTGGAGCATCTTCAAAAAATGGAGTTTTCCTACCTCTCTGGGTCCCTGTTCCAGTGTCTGACCACTCTAATGGCTTAAAAAAAGAGTATATGTGGAGCTGGAATTTCTGATGTTCCTGCTCGTCCCTGTTACCTCTTGTCCTGTCGCTGTGTACCTCTGAGAGGAGTTTGGCTCTGTCTTCTCTGCACTCCCACTACTTCTCTGCACTCTCCAACTTACTGCAGACAGCAGTAAGATTTCCGTCCTTCCACCCCCAATTCTTCTTAAGGATGAACAAACCCATTTCTCTCAGCTTCTGCTTGTAGAACATGTTCTCCAGCCCTCAATCATCTTGGCAGTCCTCTGGTAGACTCACTCCATTATAGCAATCTCTTTCTTGCATTGAGGAGCCCAAAAGGGGACACGATATTCTGGACGCCATCTCACAAGTGCCAAAGGGTTATAACCATATGTTGGTTTCCCTTGCTTAAGGTTAAGGCAGTTGGTAAGGTGGAGCTGGTTTTATAATGTAATTAAATATTACAAATTGTTGCAGTTAAGACAAAGACCTATAGCCATGAGTAACGGATCTGTTTGCAAAACAGATTATCTAAATGCATCTGGAAAAAGTTTAAGGAACCTTTCTGCTAGACTTCAGTCCCTCTTTAGATTAAGAAGAATGATTACTTGAAAAACATCCAAGTCTGGAAATCTTGTTTTTCAGTGCAAGTAAGAGACTGCAGGAATAAGTATGTTCCATTATTATCTGTTCACGAACACAGAACTTGATTTTTTTGTCTTTTGAAGACACTGAAACTGAGGGAAACAATAGGGGCAGTAACAAGTCTTTTTTTCTTGTTGAGAAATGTGCAAGAATAAAATCAAAACTGAAGTGAAACTGTGGAAGAGCCAGTTGGAAATACGGACTTCAGTTTGGTAGTAAAACCCTGCAGAGCAAAAGATAGTGGTGCAGGAACAGAGTGAAAAAACTTTTTCTGACCACTTTTTTTTTTTTTTTTTTTTGTCTCTCCAAGCTCTGAAGTGAAAGTTAGTACATGTGGACACTCTTAAGGTGACTTGTAGGTAAAATTCTTATACTGGGATCTGCAATGAATGATTGTTTTCCCTTTTCACTGTTTTTTGATCAAATCTCAAAAACATACTGGACAACAGCTTTTTTTTTTCTTCTCTTGTATCTAGAAGGAAATGAGTTAAGTTTCATTCCCTGTCCTCACAAGAATAAGTCCTAATCTTGGATTTTTTATAAAGTGCTGTTCCAAAAATTACGAAATAGGAGAAATGACTTTTAGGGCTTTGTTTTGTTTCGCATTTTCCTCCAAATATGCGGAAGATGGGTATTAGAGGGGATGTTTGGGTATTAAGTGGGTAAAATGGTAAATTAGTGGCACAAGGCTCTGCTTTGCTCAGTCCTGCTACTGGTAACACCTGCTACCCGTGAGGGAATTGGGAAATCTTACAGATCAAAACTTCATCCTCTTTTATCACAGCCTTTATTTGTAGTTTTGATACTTTTTTTTCTTCCTTTTTCTTTGAGACTTTACATACTTTCTATTGAGGTAATTCTGCTTGCATCATTGTAGTGCTTTTTCCTGCTGGTGAGATTAGTTTCCACAGGAAAGACAAAGAGATTCTTTGGGGGGGGGGGGAATAATTTGTTTCAAATGTTACCATAATATGAAAAAGTGGAACTATTTAATAGGGAATGTCCATTCTTTGGTAAGAAAAGAAAAGCACCTATTTTTATCATGTATTTTCAATCAAAACAGAGTTTAGAATTAGGACCTCCAGAGTAGGTAGCTTGTTTAGCTGCATACTTAATCTGTTTTGAGACTTTCTAGAGTTAATTTGGGTTTAGGACTTCCAGTTTGATTTCACGGGGCGTTACAGAAATCGTTTGTGGAACGTACCTTTTTGTTCTAAGCCTGGGGTTAGTACAAGTGCCTAAGTAGCACTAAATAAAGCATTTAAGGCATGCTGAACTGAAGGTGCATCTGCTTGCATAAGCTTTTTCTGGTCCTGAAGATGCTTACTGAACAGGGTTGTGAGACCCTGCTTCAGAAAACCTCGGTGGTAGTACCTGTTCAGAGCAGATGGCCTGGCCGTAGGTTCCTGCCATGCTCCAGCAAGCCAGATTGAGGAACTAGTCCAACTGAACTTTTTTACTTTTCATGTTTGAAAAGAGAAATGGGTTGAATATCTTCTGTTTAACTGCTTCTGGCAGCTCTTGTTAATGTGTTTGAGGTCTGTGATGCTGTTAGGTGATTTGACCTTCAGTTATATTTTATGTACAAATATTTTTGGCAGAGAATTTCTAGGAAAAAAAATGTTTAAGGTATTCCAATGATCTTTTCCTTGTGCACTGCTGTCTGTTCACTTCATGACCTCTGAAATACGGTGTCTTGTTACATACTTGGAGGAATTTTGCTAATGAACAGCACTAAGCCTAAGCTTTATGTTTAGCTGTTAGACATGCAGATATGGATCACCGTGTCGCTTATCAGCTATTGTAGATATTCAGATGTTGACTTTGAGCCAGAATATGGCTCAAATCCTGTCTGTGTTTCAGATCTAAAAAGGGCATTAGTAGCCTGCAGCCTAAGTAACTTTCTTTTGTTAAATACTTACTGGATTCATATTTGTCTGTGTATTATCATTTTATTTGGTGTATTATGTTGATAGTTGCACATCAATTTTGACCTATATAATATCTCTTTCAGTGACCAGGAGCCTCCTTATTCAATGATCACGTTGCATGAAATGGCAGAAACAGGTATCAAGGAACTGTGCTGGGCTTTTCAGTTGTGACCGCAAAGCGAAACAAAAACAACAACAAAAAAACAAACAAAAAAAATTGTACAGCAGTACATTGTGACTTCCCGTAGCTCTAGTGGCTTAGAATTTGAAACACAGTTCTGCACTTCAGAAACTTCACTGAGCTCATTGCATTTGTCTCATTTTTTTTAAACTCCCTTAAACTTTCTATGCGAACTCTCCAGAAGTGGCCAAGTGATGGCTACAAACACGTTGTGATGTTGTTAAACTGTAAGCCACAAAGAATGTCTGTTTGCAATAGGGCAGAACTGACCCATATACACGGGCATGGTTTAAACCCATGTGCTTCCAATAGTGATGGCAGGTTGTGCATACCTTCTGTCTTGGGTTTTGCTGTTCTTAGACCTCTGCTTATTTGTATTCGTTATGTTGCTGGCCCTATCCTTAAATTCTCCTGCAAACTGAGCTGTGTTTGTACAAGGGCTCTTTTACTTCTGGTAGGACTCAAGACCATCATCAAATTTCTGGTTGAGGTGAATTTTTGTTTCTTTTGGTAGAGTTGGTATTTGTCCCGGAAAACGTATTTCCAAATTCGAATAAGTTAACTAACTTGATTCAATATTACAGCTATTCAGTACAGTAAAATATTTTTTCAGGGTAACGTGCTCATAAAACTCAAATGTCAATGTATTACCTGTTCACTTGTCGTTGTTGAAGGGAGCACTAAGTCTCTTCAACCTCACTCACTCACCTGTAGGCAACCGCTTGTTGAACACCCAGGTCTGTTTACATTATTAGTAGTTTATCTTTAACGTCTTATATATGAATCCTTGTTTACCTGCAAGTAGAAAACTTTATTTAGTCATGAAATGGTGAGAACTGTTGCTTATGAAAACAAATTTTCATGAGAAAACCAGGCATGGATCATGCTAGTACAGTTCCATTGAGGTTGGTGTAACTAGAGGGAGTTAAAGAAGGGTGCTTTGATTCTGTATAGAAAAAATATTTCTTCAGTGTTGTAGTGGATGCCATGTTTAACACCTAGAGTTAGCACTAGATGGTGAACTGAGGGCTGTGCTGGTAAAAAGGGCTTGTCCATTCTGGTCATGAGTGTTACTTTTTAATTTTAGTGGAAACTAAAGGATGCTCAGGCCTGAGCAAGACTCTTCTCCAAAAATTAAGATACTTAATGTTACCCAAGTTGTTTTATGCTTCCTCCCCCCCCCCCCCCCCAAAATTAAATTTCCAAGCTACTGCAAGCTAAGACATTGATGTAAAATGTAAACTGGGTCCCCACCACCACCACCACTAATGTCTGTAAACTAGCGGGGGTTATTATGATGAAGGAAAGTTTAAATTTATATTGATCAATATATTTTAAAAACTTCAGAATTGCATTGCTGCTCTGAGTATTATTTCTGTTTTGTGGTTGACAGATGAAGGCTGGTTGGAAGTTGTCCAATCTTTAATTAGAGTTATTCCGTTAGAAGATCCACTGGGACCAGCTGTTATAACATTACTACTCGATGAATGTCCGCTGCCAACAAAAGTAAGTCTAAGTAATGTGTATTTCTCCGTGGCTAAATTTCAGTCATTCATGGCTGTCAGTTCCGTGACAGCTTCTTGGTGGCTTTCATCAGTGGTGCAAACAAGATTGGGTATTAGGTGATCAGAAAATGGATGAAACTTGTAAGCTGAAGTAATTTGTAGTGACTTGGTATCCAGTTCCTACTTAATGATAGAAGTGCTGTAGCAAAAGTGAAGCCTTTGGTCCTAAGCTGTCTTCTTCGTTGCCCTTCTCTCTTGCTATCTGGTATACGTGTTATGCAGTGAGTGTGTACGGATGCTGCAAAAGCAGTACAAATTTAGAAGTTTTAGAAATGTGTGACTTCCAGAACTAGAGGAAGAAAACTACAATTCCTTCCCCGCGTACGAGGCGTGCAACACAAGTGCATGTATTAAGTGTAACAAATGACATTTTTATTAAACTGTGAACTATCTACATACAACTTTGGCAAATTCAAACACTTTTTACTGACAACTGGATCATCTTTCCATCAAAAAACTGACTAACATGTTCATATTGTGTTGGTATGTGTATTTTAATGAGGGCCTCAAGTGCTTCAGTGTGCTAAGGGTTCTTGAATCCCTTAGACATAATGGTTATACAGAGAGAAGCAGCATTACAGAAGTTGTCTGTCTTCATCTGCTTGCCATGATCTTATTTCGTCAGATACTGGTGATGGCATTGTTGCTGCTTTCATTTATGAATCTACTTCTTACACTGCCAGTTTTAGTCTTCGTTTTGCACTGTCACGAATGTTTTTTTAAAAAAAAAAGGGTAATTTGTGTCTTACGTAAACTGATGAGTGGCTGGAGAGTTAGGCAAACCCTATAACTAAAGCGGTTTTTTTCCTCTAGGCCATTAAATAAAGTCTGCTGAGACTTTTGACCAAGTTAAGTGTTTATGGCTGCCATGTAGACTGTGAAATGATTTTAAAAACCGACCCATCACTAGAAATGGGAATAATTTTGCCTGTTTTAAAGAAGAAACCAGGAACTGTAGACCATTGTGACTGCCTCATTCTAAGAGTGATGTTGGAATTTTTGTTCAGCTATACAATGTATCCAGTAATCAAATGATTCGTTTTTTGAAAACGACGTCACTTTTGCTTGGGTACTTTAATTTTAAGGAATAAGCTTTGAAATGGTTGACCTTAACAAGATAGAAGGAATAAGATGCCTGTTTTGGGAGACTGTGCAGAGGCTTTTTCTCCTCTATAATTTCTGTACAGCTCAATGAGGGGCAAGGAGCTGCAGTCCTGGGATCTGCAGGTCACGTGCAGCCTAGCAAAGCCCTTGCTGCTGTTCAGTCTTTGCTTATTCAGGATAAGCTGAAATTTTGTCTTAGGGTTTTAAGTCAGTGCCAAACTTCTGTTATAGCTGGAGAACAGTAGCAGGCCATATTTCATTTTCTGTTATGGTAGGCCATAGTCCATGAAGTTAAAATGGCAGTGCAGTAAACTCTGTTTATTCTATAAAGCCTTTTCTTTTTGACAGTTCTGTTATTGGCTAAAGGCAGTATTGGAGTACGTCATCAGTCTAATTTTCATTAGGCTTTTCCATCCCACATCTCTGACTCAGTGATCCTTTCCTTCTTCTCCGTTCTTTCTAGTTTGTGTCAGCCCTGTCCATCAGTTCTGCTTTTGTGGCTGTTCTTTTGGGCGCATATCTACTTGTCTATGTTATCTCTGTACAAACCTCAGACTCTAATGCAGTGCATTGATTTCAGACTGGCTCAGAACGCAGTTCAAAAAGCATATAAACATGCAACTTGAGTAATATTAATTTTTTTCTAAATGACCTGCTGATTACTTCAGTATGAAGAGTTCTTCTGTTTTAATTAGATTTTATCCTGAGATTGTGCAGTTTATATCTGAATCAGCTGAAATTTTCATAAAAGTCTGGAAAGTTGGGGAGAATTTTGAAATTTGTAGGGTTTTGGGTGTGGTGGTTGGTTTGTTTGTTTGTTTTTTCTCCTTCCCTATGGGGTAACTTGCTCTGGCTCTAGATTAACCGTGGTACAACTACCCAAATGGTGGGTATGTTCTAGATCTGTCCTGAATTTATGATGTGGAATATGGGCTTTTTGGAGGGGGGTGGTGGTGGTGACAAGATTTCTCTAATCTTAAATTTCAAAGTCTATAAATCAGCTTTCCTTTGGAAAGGAAGTGAGTTTTTGGACACTTGAAACAACATCTGAAATTAGGTGGCAGTAGTGCCATTGGTGCTGATCTGTATTGTTGCTTTTGTCTACTATTCAAGTTCCTCTTACTGTAGGTAGTACATTTGTGAATGACCGGAAGTGTCATGAATTTTTGGTCATGACTATGACATTGGTGGTAATTTTAAAGTTACAGGTCCTAGGTATATTGAACTTCTTATCTAACCATCTGTTCTGTATTATCTTCTTATCTTAGAAGATAACCATCCCTTGGTGTCTGTAATACATGCTATAAAAATCATTTCTTGTAATATAATGAATTAGGAGGGGAAAATCATATCCTTCAGTATCGTTGAAGAGATTTCCAATTTTGTTTTTTAGGATGCATTACAAAAGTTAACTGAAATATTAAATTTAAGTGGAGCTGCTGCTTGCCAGGACGCATGTCACCCTGCCAAACATCGGAATACAACTGCGGTACTGGGCTGTTTAGCAGAGAAACTGGCAGGTGAGCAGAGGGAGCCTTCTGAGAGCTTGCTTTTGGTACCTTTTGCTTTAGCACTCACTATGCAGACTAGCTCAGAAATGTGTTCTTAGAACCAAGTAATGTTTCGCATTGAGGAGAGACCTTGTCTGACTGGTGTGGTCAAGTCTAATGTTTGATTCAAACTTTTAAAAGATTCAGTCCTCAGTGACTAGCTTTGGTCTGAATCAGCTGATTCACAATTCCAGATGCTTGAAAAGGTGAAATTGTTTTGATGCGCCATTGCCAAATTGAAATATGTACATTTGTGGATCAGTGTTTATGCTTACAATATATGGCCTTAGCACTGGTAATCAGTCTTTTCTCTAAGCCTAATCTGGGTGGGTGCGAATTACTGAGCATATTTAGTTCTTTAGCCAGCAGGCAAGACTGTTAATTTGATATTCTTAGAGGTAGTATAGAAAGAAGGTGGATAGAAGAAAGATGCTCTTTCCACTAGACGTGTAGTGTTTTAAGGTTGTTGCCCGAAGAGATTTTCTCTTGCTGTGTTATTTAAAAGAACATTGCTGCATATTCTATTTTAAAGTGACTTTTTTAGAGAGATCCTTTTATTCCCCGTTATTTCTAGTACCCTGCTGGAAGCTTAACATTCAACTTCCTTCTTGCTGATGCTCTTGTTTGTATCTATTTTTTTGCTCTATTTTCTGAAAGTGGACAGAAAAAGGGAATGAGGAAAAAGTGAAAGTCCACTGTAACTGAATGGTTGTTAAAAACATACTTTCCATATTTTACCAAGAAAAAAGGCAAAGAACAAGTGAAGGAAGCATTTTTGTATTTTAATACTTCTACCTTCTTGTTATAGCAAGTCTAAAATGAGTTCCTGTATCCGCTTTCCTCTTAGTGCTCCAGGAGCAGATGTCATTGAAGAAGCTCAGGCAGCAGATCTGTTAACGTTTTCTTGGAACTTGTTACAATTTGAGAGTTCATAGATATCAAAATTTGATTCCCTTATATCTCTCTATTGATGAAACAGTCAGTATTCAGACAGCATCTTCTAAATGGCTGCTTGCTGTAGTGCAAAATTAGCTGCAAATTGTGTAGTTAACTGTCAAGCAGGCTACATTAGACACTCTAAGTTTCGCTTATTTTGTGCTATTGATAAAGGGAGCTAGTCTTTATGCTTGGACTCTAGAAGTAAAGTGGTTCTCCACTCTTCAGAACTGTATAGGCATAAAGATGTTAATCAGAGGCTGACAGAAGATTCTTGCTTCAAAAACTCTGAAGTATGGCTAGAACTATGTACACATTTACAACAGAAACTGAAAATGTTTGTAATTTAGCAGTAACTGTAATTATTTGTGTAGCAAATACTAGATTTATGGGAACAATGATATTTTTATAGTTCTGTTTTGTTGTAAACTCAGTGTGCTTAGCTATTCTTTAATTTATTGTCTTCTGATTAAAAGTTCTGTGCAGGGATGAGAGTATGGTTGTTCCTCCACACTGATTTAATTTTTAATGTTTTCACAGGTCCTGCAAGTATAGGCTTACTCAGCCCAGGCATATTGGAATATTTACTACATAGCTTGGTAAGTCTCTTAGTTCTTTTTGTATGTATTCATGCATGATAATTACTCCTGTTTTTTTGGAAAGTAGTGTCAATTCTTTAAAAAGCGAAAGTATTTGTGGCATAATGCAGATCTAGCTTTTATGCTTCTCTTTGAATAAAGTATCTTTCATTAAAAAACTTGTTTACGCATCTTCTGTTGTATCCTGTCTCTTAACAGTGGCCTGGACTAGATGGACCTTTGACCCTCAGGGACCATTTTTGTGTTAAAGTTCTTATTGGTCAAACATTGAGAAGCAAATAATGCAAATTATTTTTGGATTATTTTGAAAAGTTGGTTTCATGTTTGGTAAATACTGGTAACATAATAGAAAATGGGCATTTAATAAGTTCAGAAAGGCCTACTGAAAGTACCCCTCGAAAACGTTTGGGACCTTACCGTTTCTGTTTCTAAAGATCTTCTTAAAACTTGAAATAACTGCTTCCTTGCATGTTATAATAAAGCAGGCTGTCTTTCAAAGTTTATACCTTTTCCTCATTCAATTAGCATGTTGCCTGCTAATTTCAAACCCCATTTAAACATTAGTAGAAAAGTTGATCAAATTGTATCTCAGCTTAACAGGAAGATAATTCACATGATACTGAATGCACTTGAACAACTTGAGGGAAATGGTAGAGAGGCTATACCCGAATATATTCGGGGGGTATTTTGTTGTTGCTGTACCAGGTGAGAGAGCAAATATTTTATGCTTCTTGAAAAGGATCTGAAAATTCATCAGACAGAACCAACCTCCCTATTAATTCGTATATGACACTTCTTTGCAAGTGTTAATTACTGTTAGGACAAACTGAAAACAGCACAGCTAGTCTAGGACACTTAAAAATAAAAAGTGCACCTCAAATATGTAATTTTTAACCAGTAATTCTCTATTTTATTATCAAATATAAGCTTCCTTTTTTCCTCTGCAATAGTTATTTCAGATTATTTCTTTACATTTACAGTCCCCATCTCTCTCTCTCTCTTCTCTCTCTCTTTTTTTTTTTCTTTTAATTTTAAGTTAGAGGAATGAGGCTTCATGTAACACAATTCTGAAAGTTGGGAGATCTTTTAAAAAGTGGTTCTACCCTTTGGTCTAGAAAAAACAGGCCTTTATTCAGTGCTCTGGAGTCAGTGCTCAGGGCTGTTGACTTAAAAATCAATTCTGATTTCACTTGTTAGGTCAGGAGCATCTCAAATGAAATAAACCCAGTTGCGTAGGTCTGAGACTGGTGTGAGATGAAAAGATGGCCATTTTGAGGAGCCAGTCTAATATGCCTGGTTGGTTGACTTTAAGTTATTTGCTATGAACTCTTGGGAGGAGGGGGGAATAAGCACATCCTGGCTGAGGTGTTATGTACTGATCTGTTAGTTATTCTTAGACGCTAGAATTAACGTAAATGTATCTTTATGAAAGCATTCATCCTCTTGTCCCTTTCTCTTTCCTCTCCCCATGCCCTCCCACTGTCTCTATTGCCAGGCTACATCAGTGCCTCATTCTTTTATGGATAGCTTTGAGAATATAAATTGATATAGAATGAAATACTATTTTATTAACTTGGCTGAGAGAATTGGGTTTATTTAGCCTGGAGAAAGAGAAGTCTAGGGGAAAATCTTATTGCTATCTACGGCTGCCTAGTGGGAGGGTATGGAAAAGGCTCTTCTTGAAGGTGCACATTGATAAGATAAGAGGTAAAAGGCACAAGCTGTAAAATGAAAAATTCTGTAGATAAAAGAGGGGGAAAAAATCCATTGTAAAGGGTGGTCAAGTATTAGACCACTGTTCCTGAGAGGCTGTGGGACCTCCACCCTTGGAGGTACTCAAATGGACAAG